TTATTTACCGTCGGCAACATTTAAACTTTAAAAAGCGCCTAGAAAAAAAAACTAGTACTTTGTAAATACCATACACCTCTGATCATTCCCAGATACAAAGCACAAAAAAATTTATTAAATTTAGCAATAAACTGCAAGGATATTTTAATTAGTACAAATCCAAACCAGTACTTACCTTGTGTAGTTGCAGGGGTTGAGTCTTAGTCCTGGCCCCACCTGTTTGACTTGCCAGTTTCCCACACATTCCTAGCCTTGTGGTCCCTAATGTACCTATTCTTAAAACTATGTATGGAGTCTACCTCCACCATTTCGAGGTCATGTGCTTCCTGAACACCCTGAGACGGGCAGAAATGCTTCCTCACATCCCATCCCTGTGACTCTTCTAACTTCCAGCTGTGCCCCCAAGAAACAAGTTTCCTACTCTTAAACAGCCGTCCCTGTCTGCCCTATCATTTCCTCCGATATTTTTCATTAAGGGTATATTACAGTCTGCTGAGCCTTTTGCTTTTCAAGGAGTGATTCTGTGTGCAGATTTGGACCAGTAGCTCTTAAATTTTCATGGTGTAAAATTATGTATATTTCTCACCGTGTTCCAAGGGTTACAGGTCAAGGGACTTCAAGTGTTTGCAGTAATTAAAGTACTTGACAGAACTTATACATGTAATGAAAGTTCTCCACATTCTCTAAAACTGCAATTTCTCCTGCCTTAATCATAAAGTAACAAGAAACATTGTGGGAGGTAAATAATCAGATTACATTCAAGAAAAAGGAGACAAGCTTCTCTGGTTCCTCAAATCAAGAGCCCTACAATCAAGCTTGTCAGATACGAAATAAATCACCAATTTTATATTTTGATTATAAGTACACTACAATGAAAAAACTATAAAAAGATCTATAGGCCCCCAAAAAGTTTATGGATGACTTTTAAAGTGGTTTTAAGCAAGGAAAGTCTTGAATTTACAAATAAAATTACCAACACTAATTAATACAATCATGGGAAATCCTTTCATGAAGGTGTCTTGATGACAGTGAGTGGGGTCTTGATGCAAGGGACTGGACTTTTGTTTCACTTCCTTGGAATGAACCTTACTGCTGCCCTCCCTCCAGATGCTGTATGATCTGTGTATGTTTAACACTTTCCATAAATAACAATAACAACAATGCCTCCCACTCCTCAGATGCTGTAATCAGGTATCACAAAAATAGAAGAGTAGCTCAAATTCTTTGAATCTAGAGGCCTTCCTTTGAAGAGAAGTACACTAACTTTTATCAAAAGGGCTATGAAAACTGGAGGGAATTCCTTAATTTTTATGTCTTATCCAATATTACACCCTACAAGAAGGCTGTCTTGATGGTGGTTATCTTGCTCCAAGGAATTGGAGATCTACTTTTCCCAGGCACTGTATATGACTTACAGCTCTGACACTTACCCATGCAAACAGTAATCCATACTATTCCAAAATTCAAAAATAAATTAAGGGCCTTTTTGAAGAAAATCCTACTTACCTGCAAGTCCCCATTAACATAGAAGCCAAGGGTTTTCTCAGGTAAATTGAGCAATAATCCTACAGTATCTCCAGTCCGGACACCCCCTGCTGAGCGGTTGAAGTGCTCTCCACTGTGCATCAGCCATGAACGCTCGTTGTCAATGTACATGCTCCAGCTACCTCCACATTTTCCTGCAAAGCAAAAATTATTAGACAAAAGAATATTTGTCTGATGGCCTTATAGTCTGAAGTGTAGCACTATGCTCATTTGCCAATTATGGAAATGAAAAAGTAAATTTAAATTGCAGCATACTGAAAATGCAAGCTATGATTGCACAACTTAAAGGGTTTATTGTACATTATATCATATATTACTGCATCGGAAGTTTAGTACATTTTTGTGAATACAAGTAACATAAATGTCAATGATGAAAATTGAAACTGCTCAGATATGGTATACGTAATGACCTCAAAAGGAGCACTGGATATAAGACACAGGAGGACCATCTCATTGAAAGAAACATGTAAAAGACTCTGGTAAATGTTAGATGACCCTCAATAAAACAATGCATTAAGGCTAGAAAATTGATAGGGTGGATAAAAATTTTAAAAATACAAGAAATAATAGTAATCATAACACTATTCAAATGAATGGAAAAAGCTAATACTAAGGCCAGGTTCAGTCACACGTGTTCTAAAGATGGAAACAGTAATGTACGGGGAAAGGGCCCAAGCATCTCCATGAACAAGGTTGTGGTTTTAAGATTCAAGCCAGAGATCCTTTATATTAATTAAAGCTTACCTTGATGGGAAATGGCCGATGTGCTAATAGTAAAAAATAAAGCTCAAGTATCTTAGGTAGAATTTTTTTTTTGTAATACCTTTAATATATATAATTTAAAACTTCCTAAACCCTTTTTGACCACTATCAATTTGACTTTTCCTTCCTTAACACCTTGGCCATCTCCTCACTGAGGCAGGGTGACTCGATAAAGAAAAAAACCCCTTTCACTGTCACTCATTCAGTCACCATCTTGCCAGAAGTACACCAACATTACAGTACAGAGGACCCTCCAAACCTACATTCCCCACCCTTCCTTCAGAGTGCAGGCACTGTACCCCCCACCAGACTAAAAGGGGACAGCTAATTGGTTTCCTTGAATCCCTCATAAATATTACCTTGCTCACACCTCCAACAGTACATCAAATCATTAAAATTAGAGCTCAAATACAGTATTTACCAAGAATCATTTCCTTGCATATATCAATTCTTGAAAGTCAAAGGCAATGTCTGCATTTCCATCATATTTTTCTATGTTGAATTCCCAGTAGTGTATTCCCCTTGAGAAGCCAACACTTCCAGAGCCACCGGTGCTCATAAGAGTCACAGCTGATAGTGAAGCCATTCTCAGATATCGTATGATCTAGGTGATTGGACTCAAAGGGTGAACCATGCAACTGAAAAATTAAATATATTATAAAAAAAATGCTCATTGTTATACTATACAGAATACACGTACTTTATTCATAACTACAGTGGAACCTCAAAAATCGAATTTTAATCCGTTCCAGGAGCTAGTTCTAAAATTCAAAAAGTCTGAAATTCGAAGCAATATTTCCCATAAGAAACAATGGAAATACAATTAATCCGTTCCAGAAACCCAAAAATATTCACACAAAAAAATACATTTTATAGAGATAATTACAGTTTTTACATACAACAAATACTATAGTTTTTAATTATGTATAGTAATACATATAAAATAACATTTTTACTTACCTTTATTGAAGTTTTGGTGATGGCATCTGGAAGATGGGGAGGAGGAGGAGAGGGAGTTGGGGTTAGTGTTTGGAAGGAGAATCCCCCTCCATGAAGACTTCAGGTAAGCCCTCTCTGGGGTTACTTCCCCTTTTCTGTTTTTTAATGCCACTAGGACCAGCTTGAGAGTCACTGGACCCCTGTCTCACAAAATAACTGCCACAGTCCTCTTTTCTGGTGCCTCTTTTAACATTTCCCTAAAATGGGACATGGTTCTGTCACTGAACTTGTTGCAAAGATAGCTTGTTTCAGCTTGCTCAGGGTGGTACTTCTGCACAAACATTTGGACATCATTCCACTTGGCACAAATCTCCTTAATCTTTGAAGGAGGTACCTCATCCACTCCCTATATTAACACCTTTTGCAACATCAGCTTCCCCTTTATTTGTTCTTTCTTTGACAGGATAGAACATGGTCGACTTGTTTTTCCCATACATCCTGGCAAGCTCAACAAGTCTCACAACCACTCTCATACTTCTGTATTATTTCCCTTTTTCACATCTATGGTGTTCTCACTTTCTTTACCACAGGGGGTACCACTAGCAAGTTTTCTTTGGGCCCCGGCAGCTTATTTCACAGTCCCACAAGCACTAAACACAATGAAATAATTGTAAAATGTGTGAATGAGAGCGCAGGTTAGTGTTCACTCAAGCATAAACAAAGCTAGACTGCTCACGGCGCCTGCGCGGGGACGCGGACAGAGCAGGCGGCAGACAGGTCCCGTACCCGGCGGTCCGAAAATAGGGGCGTGTTCGATAATAGGGACACAGTTTATCTGAAAAAATGGTCCTATTTTCGAAACGTTCAGTATGTGTTATGTTCGATTTTTGAGGTTCCACTGTAACTCATAAATTGAAGATGAAAAGTGGAAGAAGTTTTAGTCTGTCCTGGATCATTTCAAGTTGGGAGCAAAAAGAGAAAAGGAGAGAAAACTGAAAGTTAGGTTAGAGCAAGGAAGGTGCAGACAGCCGAGGTCAGGTTTAACTGCTTCCTTCTCTTACCCTTTTCTATCTCATATTGTCCAGTTTTAAATATAATATTGTCCAGTTTTAATCTCCAATTTTTGAGTTATTGGTAGTTATGAATTGTTCCAGCCACTATAATGTGACTTTGTCATTACACAAGTCAGCCACATGCACGTATTACATTAAAAGAGAAGAAAACCTTCACCAAATATTGATAGTAATATTTCTCAATAATCAAGTAATCATATGAAACTAGTTATCACCTATTCTTCTACCAAATGCACTTTTGTTTTTTTCTTAACTTTTTGACCTTCTGAAGAATCTTTTTTTTATATAATTCCCATGTAATAATTATGGTAACTATAGTTACCTCTGGTAACAGTAGCATAGTGAAAAAACAGGGAAAGCATTCACATTCCCTGAGCACACTTGACACTTTCTTTGGGAGACTCCTGCCTTTTACAGCTGCTGTAATCCCAATTTTCATTCATCACAGCAAACAGCTTGCCTTGCTTGACATGTTTAATGTGATAGAATTATTAACTAATACAATGTTTTCACATATGAAATTAAGAATTTTGGTAAACACTGTATATACACTAAATCACAAACTGAGCTTCAACTGTATCGTAAAATCAACACATTTTGAATTAAAAAAAGTATTAATCTAAATATCACAGGGCTGCAGCAAGCCTTGATGTGAGTACAGTATACATTAATCTGCCATACCTTCAGCAGTCTGTAAGCACAGGGGCTCACAGAAAGAGGAGTTGCCGGTATTATTAAAAGCTCGTACTCTGGCGCGGTATATGGAGTTGAAGTGTAAGCCATCAATAGTGCATACAGTCTCTTCTCCTGTGTAAACTTCCTAAAACATTAACAAATAAATAAAATTAGGCATGAACATAATATTATTCTTTAATTATGTTTTTATTCCAGTGAAAAAATTAAAAAAATGTAAAACTTTAATGAAAAATAATGTACAAGATACAAATACCAGGTAATATAAACTCTTACCTGAAATGCATCACAATTCCTAACTTTGCATTATACAATATTCATCAGTGTACCATAATATTTCCAATGATTAAAAAAATGTCTCCATCTGCATAAGTTACACAATGTGGTAAGGTTTGTGACTACTGTTGAATGTTAGATCAAGGCAGTGAATGTATAGTGTGAGCCACAGATAACCACTCAACAGATACACAGTCTAATCTACTTAATAATTATACTTAAGGCAAAATACAAGTCAGAATTTGGTTAATTTTGAAAACAGGGTAAAATTAAGTCATATATAAAGCCAAAAACAGTATTGTATCTTCAAAGCCATTAAGAGTTTAAAAGAAAATTTGCTTACCCTAAATGGGCCATTAGAGCCATCGTCTATCTCCAGTGTGTAGCCAGTGACACATGATGTAGGGTGAGGAGCCCAGGCAATTGTTACACTGTTGTTTTCTGCACTACATTCTAAAGGTATCATGGACGGGGTGCCAGGAGCTGCAAAAAACAAAACTGTTGAAAAAACATGCAAGGTGTTTATTAATAATAATTATATATTTAGATGCAAAAAACTCTGTCCTCAACTAACCTTCATATATTTGTTATGGCTTCATTTTTTATCTAAATATATTTTTGTTATTACTAATGAATGAATAATGACAGGTATTCTGTTTATATTGTGCTAAATTTTACATGGGGTTTAGCACTCAGTGTAAATAATAATAATAATTCTGATAATCTTAAAATATCATTTAATAAATTATATACCAATACAGTATGTAAAAAGAGTACTAGTGCTATAGTGAGAGACAGCATTGTATAGTACTGTGCTACCTATAATCAGTCACATCAAGAAGATAAGTAACACACACACACTCTCACTTTAAGTTATCTTTGTACATGGAAAGCAATTTGGATATTTTCATAACCTTACCTTTGCTTTGTTTCAATAAGCAACTCGTAACTCCCCCCCCAACACACACACACACACACACACACACACACACAGCATTCCGACATCTTAATAAGGAATCGTTCAGGACCCTGTACACAGTGTACGTTAGGCCCATATTGGAGTATGCGGCACCAGTTTGGAACCCACACCTAGCCAAGCACGTGAAGAAACTAGAGAAAGTGCAAAGGTTTGCAACAAGACTAGTCCCAGAGCTAAGAGGTATGTCCTACGAGGAGAGGTTAAGGGAAATCAGCCAGGAGCTCGGACTCGACCCCCGCAACCTCAACTAGGTGAGTACAACTAGGCGAGTACACACATTAAACTAAATACTGTAATCTATTATGTAGCAATTTGCAAGACAGAGCAATCATCTGCAGGTACCACACAGTGTGTTTAACCTATTTTAGTAGAATTACTGGTATTACAAGAACTGTCAAGATTAACTGTGTTATGGAAAATTATTATTATTATATTTAAGGGAAAGCACTAAACCTGCAGGGGTCATACAACACCTGGAGAATGGGAGGCAAATGTGTATTAATACACTCCGGTCTATTAGCAAGTTTCATGTTTAAAAACCAGTACCAAAGTTGCAGCTGATTACAACAGGGCTCATACACTCTTCTGCTATATGACTTTAAATAACAAATGCTTCCTAATAGTAATACGTAATGCTTAGCAACAACACTCGGATGAAGTCCAGCATCGCGCAACTGATTGTTGTTACTGAAATGGTTCGTAACTGCCACTTGATATCAGTCCATGCAGCCGGACTTCAGTCCTGGAGGTGGAAAGTACAGTCCCTGCATTCTGAAGGTGAGGTGTTGATATGCCTGCATTTTTTTAAGTAGTGTAGACATGCTTCTGGCAAGACAGTGACGGAGTGAATGATGATGAAAGTTTCTTCTTTTTTTTTTTGGATCACCCTGCCTTGGTGGGAAACAGCTGATGTGTTAATAAAAAAAAAATCAGTCAAGAGTTGTTTTCAAGAATAAACCCACATCAGGTGATTTTTCCATGATGAATAAATTAACAACCAACAAGTAAACAAACGAGGAATTAAGGTCGTCTCCTAAGAAAAAAATATTTTGTGTAAAAATTTACAGCAAAACTGACAATAATTACGTATATATTTAATACCAGATACTGTACTGTATTATTAAGTAAACAGTAAGTCAATTGATACTATTTGATCAAATAGTTAGTGGAGAAAACGTCAGGTCATGTAGACTCAGAGGAGCAAAGTTGCCCCATTATCTGGACTACAATAATTTACCAAGCCAAGGTTATTATTATTATAATACCATGGTACATGACCTGGAGTTTACCTGGAGAGAGTTCCGGGGGTCAATGCCCCCGCGGCCCGGTCTGAGACCAGGCCTCCTGGTGGATCAGAGCCTGATCAACCAGGCTGTTGCTGCTGGCTGCACGCAAACCAACATATGAGCCACAGCCCGGCTGATCCGGAACTGACTTTAGGTGCTTGTCCAGTGCCGAGCTTGAAGACTGCCAGGGGCTGTTGGTAATATCCCCCCCCTTATGTGTGCTGGGAGGCATTGAACAGTCTCGGGCCCCCTGACATTTAATTGTATGTCTCTTAACGTGCTAGTGACACCCCTGCTTTTCATTGGGGGGATGGTGCATCGTCTGCCAAGTCTTTTGCTTTCGTAATGAGTGATTTTCGTGTGCAAGTTCGGTACTAGTCCCTCTAGGATTTTCCAGGTGTATATAATCATGTATCTCTCCCTCCTGCGTTCCAGGGAATACAGGTTTAGGAACCTCAAGCGCTCCCAATAATTGAGGTGTTTTATCTCCGTTATGCGCGCCGTGAAAGTTCTCTGTACATGAAGACTCATCTAGGAATTACAACAGCCTGCAATCAACATTTATGGACACTATCTATTTGGTGAGTCTCAGACTGGTAGAGGAGTACTGAGCCTGCAAACAAATATCAAAACACTCCAGAATGAAGACGGTATTAGAATCATTAACCTCAAAGGGCTATTAACCCCTGACGGTTATTAAATCAGGGTGACCCAAGAAAGTCAAGTAGTGTGGCAGCATTCAGGTGACATAACTGTGACCAGTTTCCAAAGCTGCATGACCCACACAGCTATGCCTGGGGCCAGGCATTTGTGTTGACTGCCTATTCAACCAGGCTGTTGATGTTGGATGCCTGCTGGCCAACACCCCCCCCCCCCCCACACACACACAGCCTGGCTGATCTGGCACTTGATGGAGGTAGAGATTCAATTTCCTCTTGACAACTTTTACACTTATTCTGCCAATGTTTCTAATATCTGCTGGGAGCTTGGGTCCTATTTTACGATTTCTCCCAATATCTCACTCCAGTACAGTATGGTGTTATGGTAGTGTGTAGATTTAGGAATAGGTCCTTGAGAAGGGCCCCACTTATACAGCAGGTTAGGTTCCAGGCTACTGCTGTAAAGTGAAACACAGTCTTTTTCACGGAGAATACCGGCGAATAAAAAAAAAAAAAAATGCAACCTTAACCCTTCCAGGGTTTTTGACTGAGGGTCTAGTACTGACTTGTACACGAAAATCACTCCAACGAAAGCAAAAGCTCCGGCGACGATGCAACATCCCCCCAATGAAAACCAGGGTTGTCACCGGAGCACGTTAAGAGGCAATACAATAAGTGTCAGGGGCCCCGAGACTGTTCAACTGCCTCACCCCAGCATACATAAGGGGATTACCAATAGACCCCCTGGCTGTCTTCAAGCAGTACTGGACAAGCACCACAGCCGGCTGGTGCCGTACATAGATTGCATGCAGCAGCATAACGCCTGTTGATCAGGCTCTGATCCCTCCAGGCGCCTGGTCACAGACCCGGCCGCAGGGGCGTTGACCCCCGGAACTCTCTCCAGGTAAAACTCCAGGCGTACTAGTACGGCTTACGCACCAGGGTTTTGACTACTAGAACGCCTAAAATTCTAGCGCCCTCAAATCTAGCAAGAGAAAGCTGGTAAGGCCTACATATAAAGAATGGGTCTATGTGGTCAGTGTGCCCAGTATAAAAGAATCCTGCAGCACACAGGCGTAATGAGAAAAAAAAAACGTTGTTTTTGGATTAAAACAGCGTCTTTGCACTGTATTTTTCGTATGGGTAAATTTATTGTTGTATTCTAGTTTTCCCTGGTCTCATTTTATAGATTGGAAGACATATTACAGAAATTGAGATGATTTTGACTGGTTTTACAATGAAAATTACCTTGAAATTGAGCTCTAAGTAGTCAAAATGTTCGGATTTTTTTTACCAAAAGTTCAAAAGAAAACAAATCATGCTAAGTGTCCAATACGTGCAAACCGTGAGTCCTAATGTTCTTTTCACAAGTGGCGCCAATATAATTTATACCATTTCTACACTAATGCAGTACTCTGCATAACATATATCATTCTATTTTTTGTGAGAATAAAAATTCAAGTGGGAAAGCAAAAAAAATGTAAGAGGCGTGGGGACATACTATGTGAACAGAGGAAATGCTATTTTAGTGTCATGAATGTCTTTCTTGTTTTATTCTGGACCCTATTTTGGAAATAAGCATCTTTTGAAATTGTGTGAAATTGGCAAAATGCCTACATTCTGACTACCGTATTGGATAGTGAAATTGGTAAATGGGTGGTTTTCTTGTACTCTTCGATAGAAAAAATGAGGTTCTAGTGAAATAGTTATGATTTTTGTCGACTAGTACATTGGCCGAAAATAGGCTCAAAGTGGCCAAAATCGCTGATGCGAAACATTGTTCGAGACTGTGCTGATTTCCCGCGAGAGCATATTCCGTAAGTTTTCCCATCAAATTTCATTACTTTTGGTGTCATATGATAGGTAAAGATTCATCTATCCCCTTTTCACAAGAAAAAAATAATTTGGGGGGGGGGGGGTTTGGGGGGGGGCAACCCTGAGAAACAATCTCGAGAGGGCCTGGCGACCCTGAAAGGGTTAAAATCCTGATAACATGTTTACAATATCATATATTAAGTGAGCAATAGAGCTAGACTTAAAAAATACATATAAAGTACACACATTACTTAATATACAATAATTTTGTCCTTAGCTTATAGCGAGTGGTGAATACTGTAAGAAGACTGAATAAATGAAGAATGAGTACATGTACAGTATAATGAAAATCGCTGCATTAGCAAAATGCTGTAAAGCGAATAAGGGCCTCCTGACATACTGTCAGACTTACGTCAGTGATACATCAGTTCTTAATTCACTGGAAATACCGTAAACACAGACAGCTGGTTGTTGTAGACACAAACACAGTTATTTAATAAATGATAGTTTTGCTTCTGTGCCAACTGCAGAGAAAGCTACAGAAATCTAAGCGAGGCATAATTACTACACTGGGTTCAGTACAAGGTAAAGTGTAATAACTGCAACCCACTTCTACTGTGATATCCCTAGTAGGCTTATAGGTAAAATAAACAAGTGGCCTATCAGTTAAAATCTTGAATAAAATCAACTGTGCTGTATATTTTTTTTTTTTCAACAAACTGGCCGTATCCCACCAAGGCAGGGAGGCCCAAAAAGAAAAACTAAAGTTTCTCTTTTTAAATTTAGTAATTTATACAAGAGAAGGGGTTACTAGCCCCTTGCCCCCAGCATTTTAGTCGTCTCTTACAACACGCATGGCTTACGGAGGAAGAATTCTGTTGCACTTCCCCATGGAGATAAGAGGAAATAAACAAGAACAAGAACTAGAAAGAAAATAGCAGAAAACCCAGAGGGGTGTGTATATACATGCTTGTATATGTATGCGTAGTGTGACCTAAGTGTAAGTAGAAGTAGCAAGACATACCTGAAATCTTGCATGTTTATGAGACAGAAGAAAGGACACCAGCAAACCTACCATCATGTAAAACAATTACAGGCTTTCGTTTTACACTCACTTGGAAGAATGTTAGTACCTCCCTGGGCGGTTGCTGTTTACCAACCTACTACAGTATACAATATACAGTATACAATATGTGCAAGACAATGTCACAAAAGGTAAGGCAGAAAAACAACAGCCCACCTTGAATGTACAGCCAGTCCTTATTCCTTACACAGCCCACTCAACTACAACTATTCAAGGTTTATGAAGAAAGGCTTATGTAGAAAAGGGGTGGTGGAATGCAAAAGGATGCTAGGATGTATTACAATCATAACTTGCTAAAACAGGAAATTTCTGACACTTTTATGTTTCGTAGCTCCATGGTGTAGGGAGCTAGCATAGACTATAAACACACAACTATAATTATTTAATTAACTATAAAATTAATTTTGCATATATGTATGACAAATCCAGGTAAAAAGCATTCTAATTAAAGTATGGTGAATTTCTCCTTGCCTGACTAAACCAATAATTATTAAATATAATGCACTAGAGTTTAAAATCATTTTTTTTTCATCTATGCAGCAAAATTATCTCTCATCTATGAAGCAGAAGATATATATGTACAGATAGCAAATACATGCCACTTGCTCTCATCAACTATTAAACAAATTTACACAAGAGAAATGCTAATTAACAATGTCAAGTTTTTAATGATAATGGTCCTTGGTACACTCAAGCTAGGAGAAATGCCACAAGAGTTCAACACCACACACTGTGAAGCAGAACAAGAAAGTTATGTATTTCCCACCTGAGCCATCTGTCTTTGGCTGTGTAACAACTGGGCCTAGGGTAGCATGGAAGGAAAACCATTTTAACCTCAGCTCTCTCACTTTAATTGCAGATATATGTAAACAAGGGTTGTGAACAATTATAAAAATAAATTATTAATAGAACCCAATAAGTGAGAAGTGAGTGGAACTTTAAAGACATTTATTACTGAACTACAATACAGTAAGTTTAGTTCATGCTTCTACCACTTATTTCTTTTAGTGAAACACTAACACTTAGACATCACATTATATATCATTCTGAATTCAACATTTAAGACTAGACAAGAAATTGAATTCATTGTACTTTTGATTCTGATATTGTACAGTTTAAATTTCAGCATACAGTACTTATCATAAATCCCCTATTTGCGTACAAAGACCATTCAAAGGGGATGCCTTCATGCTGATTCAAAGCTCTTGGTCCAAGGAATTGAAGCTACACTCCCCTTCCTTGGATCAAATTAATTTCCATGCCACAGGCACTGTATGACCCCTTATGGGTTTAGTGCTTTCCCATGAATATTACAGTACCTGGTCAAAATGCATATATACACTTACGTTTGAGTTGTATGAATGTGAGTTGCTGGATAGCTGTAAGGAGTGTCTTGTCATCTAACGTGAGGTTGAAGACAGGAGGGATGCGAGGTTCAGGCACCATGGTTTGTTCCCAATCCCTTGTCATAGTACACACACGCTCCTCCAAAACTTCTTGGGCCTAATAAACACAAAATATTATTATTATTTTTTAACACAACGGCCATCTCCCACCAAGCTAGGGTAACCCGTAAATGGAAAAATGCATTCCCTGTCATTCATTCAATCACTGCCTTGCCAAAAGTGTGCTGACATCAACAGATAACCTTCCGAGCTGTAACATCCTCACCTCTAATTCAGAGTGTACCTCTCACCTCCAGGACTCCAGTCCAACTAACCGATTACCTCAATCCCTCCATAAATGTTACCTTGCTCGCACTCCAACAGTGTGTCTAATTATAAAAAGTACTATCCTCCACTTACACCTATCTAGCACGTTCACTCAAAATACAAATATAAGCTGCATTTCACAAAATTGTTGATATAATAACTTGTGTAAACAAAGCATTAAATGGGCTCAGACTATGTAACACCCCCACACTCGTTCTCACATTTGATTTAGGTTTAAAGCTTATTGACTACACTTGTTATTAAGGCTGCAAATAACATTTACACCATTAGTTAAGAATACTGTACTTTAATCCATAAAATTGTAATTAAAATAAAATATCTGAACACACCCTGAGATACATACTCCTCAACAAACAAGTGCTTGTAAATTTCTCGAAAGAACAAGTGATCAAGGATAAAATCCCAAATTATATTATTTATTATTATTAAGTAGTTGTACTATTATTATTATTATTATTATTTATATACCATGTGTCACCTTCATAAGAATTTTATCAGTAAAACACTGCCCTAATAAAAGTTTATTTTGCACAGTATTTTTTCCATTATTGTCTGTGGCACACTAAAAAAATTAATTAAAATTAAAGCCAATTATTTCTTTAGAGTCATACAGCAATTACATTTTGAGTTTGATCTTACTTATTGCTTGTACTTAGACCTAGAACAAAATTTAAGTTAGTACTGTAAGCCTGGATAAATTTTTTTTTTATTTTTCATTAACAATCATAAGTAACATTTCTTTATTTATTTATTTATTTATATTTGAGCACACTTACAGAGGTACAAAAAAAAAAGACAGATAAGACAGCATGCAAGCCCAGTTTTTTTCTTATACTATGCATAGCATCACGGGCTGGCATTAAAATTAACTTTAAGATTACTAAGCAATATGAAATCAAGTGAAAAAACATTAATGTAAACTGATAACTATTAAAGCAAAAGTGTGTATTTACAAGACAGGTCATATGGTTCATGCATTGTTGTAAATTCAGTAGAATGGAGTATTCTGTTAGGTAGTTGAATTTAAAAATAATAAAGTTAGATTGGGTTTTAGGTTTAACATTTAATGTGATATAATTGTGAGGAAACATTTTAAGATATACAATTTATAAGGTTCAGTTATTCAGTATTATTTGGTTTTGGTGAAGTAAGTGATCTTTGAGAAGAACTGAATTTTGATAAACAGGTAGTGTTTCTTTTATATTAACAGGTAATGAATTCCAGATTTTAGGGCCTTTTATGTGCATTGAGTTTTTTGCATAGCGGAGAGGACACGAGGAATATCAAAGAGTGAACTGTGCCTGGATATGGTCAAGTGTTTTCTGTTTGAGGTTGGGCAAGAGATGTTTGGGGGGAGGGTAATATCAGAGTTGAGTGTTCTATGTATTAATAGGTGCAGTAATAAGTATGGATGATTTGTATGGTGAGTAGGTTTGAGTGTACGAATATTGGTGGAGTGTCTGCCTGTAGTGAGAATTTGTTTTATCATTCTAACTGCAGCCTTTTGTTGGGTAATTAGTGGTCTGAGATGGTTACTTGTTGTTGAGCCCCATCACAAATTCCGATAGGTGAGAAGGGGTAAATAAGAAGTGATATAAGCCAGGAGGCTGCTGGGGAGCATAGTACCGATCTTCGAATAGTATGCCTACAGTCCTTGGAAATTTTTCTTAGAAATTTGTGTATATGTATGAAATTTGAGTTCTAGTATCAAGGGGATTCCTAAGAATTTTCCCTCAGTTTAGCTTTGTGATGGTGATTACCTTTATCATTATGTTAAGAGGGACATCTTAGTCTCTGTTACCAAACTGAAATGAAGTAGGTTTGTCAATGTTTAGTGTAAGTTTGTTAGTACTCCATCCAGGTAGATATTTTCTGTAATTCGGTAATTTACAGTATTGGGCTAGCGTGACTGGGCACGGGTGGGAGAAGACGTATGTTGTGTCATCAGAAAATAGTGTGGGTTGAGTAATGAGAAGCATTTGGTAGGTCATTTATGTATAGGAGAAAGAAGAAGATGGCCAAGACACTTCCCTGTGGGACACCAACTGTAATTGTTGTGCAGAAGAGTTTGCCCCATTTTGCGTACACATATTGCTTCTGTTGCTGAGGTTATGACTTGAGGTAGTTGTGAATGTACGTGCCCCTTATACATAGTGTGATAATTTTACGTGGAGCAAGTCTTGGGTCCACCTCTACAACTGTATCAAAGCTCTTTACGTAAGTCATGAAGATCCCCATGGGACTTCCTTTTTTCTCTATTGCAGTGTATATATGTTCCTAGCATGTGTATAATAGCATCAATAGTATTTTTATTAGGCGGCCAGAAATCCAAATTGGCAGGGTTGAGTATTTTTTTGGGAGTAAGGTAGGAGTAGATTCGTTTATGAATTAATTTTTTCGAAAGATTTTTGAGAGAGGGTGTAAGTTGGAATATGGCCTATATTATTCAACTCTGTTTTTGGTCTCCTCCTTTGTGATCGGGTGAACATCCCTCGCTATTTTGAAGTACTGTAGGGAAGGTGGAGGATTCAATGGAATTTGTTTAAAAAGAGTGTTGCAATGATTGGTGATAGCGACTTGTGACACTTTTTTTGTATATAAAGGGTGGTAAGGTAATTTAAATCTCCTGCCCTGTTTTTTAGTGCGTTGATAATAAGGAGACTTCTTTTCGTAGGGTTAGTCGTAGCTAGGAACAGTTGTTCGAGGTAGTGCCGGTGAGGTAGTCATTGGGTGGGGTATCTGAGCTTGGATTTATTGGCAAGGTTTTGTCCTATAGTGGAGAATGAAATCATTGAGTCTGTTTGCTGGTTTCTGTTGGTGGGAGTTGGGGTTCATCCTGATTTTGCTAATTTATTTCGCTATTTCGTGATATCTTTTTTGTTCCCAGAATTTCTGATAGGGTTTTCCAGGTCTTTTTTATATCACCTCGTAAGTTGGATAATCTGTTCTCATAATACAATTTTTTTTGCCCTTCTTATCAGCTGGTTAGATTGACGAGTAACGTTTTGTTTGGTCTCTGTTATGTGACCCCATCATTGTACTGTTTTTCATATTGGTGTTTTGTATTTATGGATTTGAGAATGCTGGGTGTTAGCCAGGGACTGTTCAGTCTCTAGCTGTCATCTGCTTAGTTTTTTTTTGGGCAAGTGGCTTGTTATAGAGGTATTGAGTCTTTTCTTAGAAAATATTAATACATTCGTCAATATCTGTATTGATTTCTAGCTCAGTGTGCCAATCAATGTTTGCTAATGCTGTTGTGAAGTTATTAATGAGACTGTATGCAGATGAACTGGTTAAGTACACTGGTTAGGTCACTTGTGTTGGTCAAACCTATGCACTACTCCTCAACATATGTGCTACATGACAAGAACATCCTTGAAGAATACTTCACTGCAATATTACAATAGAAGCAAATAATGTTTGAGCAATATGAATGCACTTACCTCCATGAAGGATGCTGGATCAGACTCCTTAAGGGCCTCAATACAGAAGTGGATGGTGGCTGTAGTGGACTGTAATGTATGGGTGTAGTCTTGTACTTGTTCTCTCAGTGCATGAACCTGATAAAACAGATACCAACATACAGTTATAAAGATAACTAGCTTTTAGAATAAACATAGCTTAATGTGATAGTGAAACCACAAGTGACAAGTATCTGCTGGAAGAATTCTTTATGTAAGTTTATATACAAAGCGCTAGAACCATTTGGACATTCAACACTTTAAACAAATTCTGATTCTAACATTATTAAATTTACACTATCATTATCAGCATGTTACCGTCATGACCAATTCACTCTCATATTACATAAATCATAATTTCAAACAAGTAAAACTACTGAAAGACTACTTTCACATTCCACAATCTGTAATTCATTCCATTTCATCAGCTGTATGTAGCAGCAATGTTAGACAAAAGGGTAAATATCCCACTATTTATGCCAGAGATGCACAGAGAAAAGGTCCCTACCCTTTAGGCACACATCTCACAAAACTCACCACTGCATTAAGGTGATCCAGTGTCATGTTGGTTAAGTTGGAAGAAACATTGTGATAGAGCACAATGATAATGGGCAAGTCTTTCTGAATTGTGGCTTTATTACATATACTTTCATGTTTTATTAAGTGTTCAAGACATCTTTATAAGGTGGCTCGTGGCTCATGTGGCAGAACCCTTGGCTCACAATTGAGGGACTGGGGTTCGATCCCAGTTTAAGTAGAAATGTTGGGCATGTTTCCTTAAACCTGCTACCCCTGTTCACCTTGCAATAAGTAGGTACCTCGATGTTAACAGACTGTTGTGGATCGGATCCCAGATTGTACCTAAGGCCAGGCTTTAATATGTGCCTCAGCACAACACACAAGATACCTGCAATATGTGGAATAATAACACAAAAATCCTCCATGAAACACTAAAGTATTTGCTTGAAACAAGCTGAGTATAAAGTGTGTACTTTCACCAGGTTGCAATATTTGAGTTAAAGGTTGAGTGAGGCTCCATTACTGACCTTGGTATCACGTTGTCTTCTGACCCAGTTAATGAGGTCTGTTCGGCGAGCTTGTAGTGCCTCCACCAGGGCATCAACCTGGGCAACTATCACACCCTCCACTTCTCGACAGTTGCCCTGACAAAAATCTCTCATTCAGTTATCATATCTATCAGACATTTCACTAATGTTTTATACTGTAAGAAATAATCTAAGTTTTAACTTTTCATGTAAATATGTGGAACACTGTAGAAATGAAATAATTATTATTTGCTGGTAATGCTTTTTGTTACTTGATTTTGTTAGCTTGAGGAGCTAACAGTCTATCTAGGCTGAGGGACTGATCACCTCAAATCTACTTTTACCATCTCCAGTGTTATATTCGCCTGTATTTGAAGAAGCCTGTTGTGCAGGCGAAACGTTTCATCGATAAAGACACCTAAGCACTGCACATGTGTCTCCATACATCAACCTTATACAATGTCTGTACATCAACATTAACAATGTTATCTTACATTTTATAGAATACAGAATGTACTCCATTAACTATATATATATATATATATATATATATATATATATAGATATATATATATATATATATATATATAATATATATAATACACACATAAGGTAAGTAACTCACATGGACTTCATCTGAGAGAGTCTTGAGTGTGTGGATGAACTCAGTAGCAGCTCTGGCCTTCTCTGACAGCTGCTGCAGCGCCTGTGACAGCTCTGTCTGTACAAGCAGAAATAAACCTTATTAATACCATCAACTGTATCCTAACCACAATTTATTCTTAATTAATCTAAACATCAACTGGTATAAAAATACCAACACGAAGGCCAAAAGAGACACAGATGCAATAAAATACCATGATTTACTGGCAAAACTGTAAGGGCGAAACGTCGTCAGTAAAGAACTGCATTATACTGCATCTGTTTTCCAATACATCACTTAACTGAGACTGGTACAGTACTTGTTGCAACAAAAAACGCTTAATTAAATTTCCTGATACTGGTGTTACAGTGCTTCTTGATCCAAGGAACTGGAGCTACTTTCCTCTTCCTTGGATCAAGCCTGATAACATATACCTCCCCTAGCATAGAATGACCTCTAAGGGTTTAGCGCTCTCACATGAATATAATAATGGTCAACTAAAATTTAAAATAAATAATAATAATAATATCAATTTATACTTTATCAAGTTTAAATTAATCGAGATTGATACCCATATTATTTATTTATTATTATTATTATGAGAGGAAACGCTAAACCCAAAGGGATCATAGTCTAGGGAATGGAAGGTAATCTGGTTCGATTCAAGGAAGGGGAGAACAACTCCAATTCTTTGGATCAAGATCCCATCACCAGGGAACCAGCATCAAGGAACCTCCCTCGAGGGTACCACCATCAAGGAACTTCCCTCGAGGGTACCAGCAACAAGGAACTTCAATCGAGGGTACCAGCGTCAAGGACCCTCCCTCTAGGGTATAAGAATCAAGGAACCTCACTCGAGGGTACCAGCATCAAGGAACCTCCCTTGAGGGTACCACCATCAAGGAACCTCCCTCGAGGGTACCAGAATCAAGGAATCTTACTCGAGGGTACCAGAATCAAGGAACTTCCCTAGAGTGTACCAGAATCAAGGAACCTTACTCGAGGGGACCAGAAATCAAGGAACTTTCCTCGGGGTACCAGAATCAAGGAACCTCCCTCGAGGGTACCAGAATCAAGGAACCTTACTCGAGGGTACCAGAATCAAGGAACTTCCCTCGAGGGTACCAGAATCAAGGAACTTCCCTCGAGGGTACCAGAATCAAACAACCTCCCTCGAGGGTACCAGAATCAAGGAACCTCCCTCGAGGGTACCAGAATCAAGGAACCTTCGAGGGTACCAGAATCAAGGAACTTCTCTCGAGGGTACCAGAATCAAGGAACCTTACTCGAGGGTACCAGAATCAAGGAACTTCCCTCCAGGGTACCAGAATCAAGGAACTTCCCTCCAGGGTACCAGAATCAAACAACCTCCCTCGAGGGTACCAGCATCAAGGAACTTCCCTTGAGAGTAATAATAATAGTAATAATAGTAACACGAGTGACAGTCAAAATGAGCAGAGAAATTGTTGGTGTTTATTGCATAAACACCAACCAGAGTTAACTGGCTAGGCTTGCTAACGGTAAACGCGGTTGCAACATAATTTCCGGATACCACAGGCTGAGAATCAGTTTACAGGTGGAGGGTTCTTTCTCTGGGTATATGAAGGCGGATCTTATTTATCCCCAGTATTTGAGAAGGTATGTTCGGGCATTAAAGAAGAGAACCGATAAAACACGCACGGCAACA